GTTCTTTTCACAGGTTCTATATCCATTTGTCGATAAAAAAAAAATCAATTAGCTTGATTCGCTTTCACGATGGATGTACAAAACAGTATCTTCCTGTTTTTGGTAACGCATAATTTTCGATTTTTTACTTTTTAGAAAATTCATCCTATGTTAAATTTTCATTCTGATTTCACTAGACCATTCTTTGTGGATCCTCTCTACTTGGAATTTTATGATAAATTGCCCAGAAAGTACCAGCACAAATATGAGAAAAAATTTAGATTATGAGGTGTTACCAAAAACGGAAAGGCACTGCACTGTATTGCTACACGGTGTATAACTTAAAAAAAAATCAGCGTTAGGAATTAACCTGGTAGACTCACCATCAATAGGAATACTTGACGTGCAAGCCAAGTCCAACATATGGGAATCTGTGGTGTCTGGGCTGAAATGTCTCCGAATTTATGCAAACATTACCGCATATATGCAAATCATTACTTGACCGTACCGAACATGGTTAAAAATTGTTTATAATCCCTACTAAACTTCAACTGAAATGGTTATGGAACTTTACATGAACGTTTGTGTGATAAAGTTTTAACCTTATATATTATGGTTTTTTGGAAGTGAACCTTACAAATAATGGGTTGTTAAGAACCAGTTCTATTAGAAGGTTTTGTATTATCGGTCAACTTAACGCGGAATATATCGCGAATTGGGTTCTTTAAGGGTATTGAGGTAAATGCATATTCGTAATCTGCATTAGAAATGGAACCCAAAGCCAAAATTTCATCAATTTTGGTACACTGGAACTATTATAAATAAGAACGATTACATTTGCAAAAATCACCTTATTAGCGCCCCTGGGTGTCACTTTGTATGGGTGCGATCTTTCAGTTTGTCAGTTTAGTGTCAGTTTGCTGTCAGTTTGCTTTAAATCTTGATTTAAAAATCGAGATGAAAGTGTGTGGGTTCGAAAAAAATATAGCTGTGCTCAAAAAACGAAGCTCTTTCAGATAATATATAAAAACCGATATATTTTTCAAAATTAAAGAACCCAATTGGTAATCGCTAATTTACAGACAACCAATTTGCGATATATTCTACATAAAGTTGATCAATATTAAAAAACCATCCATGGACCTTACTGACTACCATAAACATTACCATTAAAGTTCTTAAACCGCACACACTTAAATTTTTTCGCCGAGATTCCAACAGCTGAGTAGTTCTGCAATTTATTTTGCTGAGATTCAGTAAAACAATTGCCGAGACTCAGCTAACAAATAACTATTTGCAGAAATATCAGCTAACAAACAGACATTTTGCAGAGATATCAGCAAAAGTAAATGCCAAGGTAATCGGCTGTTGGAGATTTTACCGAGCTAGATTAAGTTTGTAAGTAAAAAGGTTCTAATATAGTCCTCTCTCCGAAAATGTATGGAGAAAACAACTGTTTAGAATGGTAATGGTTCTTAACAACCCATTATTTGTAAGGGTCACTTCCAAAAAAACCATAAAACATAAGGTTCAAACTTTATCACATTACTGGCGACAACGCTCTGATGAGACAACGAAACCTTACCCTCAAGCTCCTCCCCTGATCCTATCCTTCGACAATGTACCCCTCTAACCTCGAGTAAGCGAGTATTTGGCCCAACTCCTACTAGACATGGAATTAAGTGAATTTTGTTACAAACAAAGAACAATGAACTATCGGCTCCGTAAAGCTAACGTGATTGAGCCTACCAAATAAACGAACTAGTTAAAAAAAAAACTTTATCACACAAACATTCATGTAAAGTTTCATAACCATTTCAGTTAAAGTTTGGCAGGGATTATAAACAATTTTAAACCATTTTCGGTAAGGTAGGATAGGAAAAAAGCAAGAAAAATTTGGAAAATCCATAGTCAGAGTGATGAAAATTTGTCAAATGATTTTTGTCATGAAGAACTTCTTACCTTTCAATGGTGAAAATTTCAAAGTTGTGTTTTTGACTGGCCATTAGTTTTTCGGTAATCCTCGCGATAATCACTAAAAAACTTCATCAACTTTTAGGCAAATTACCTTCTGCCAAAATTGTGCGGATGCAATTTGCCGCATTATTTCAACGCCTCTGTGAATTAACGGAGGCAGAGTATTCCGGGAGATTTTCAGACCGCACGCCTTCCACAGGGGCTCCAAAAGCAAATTGGAACCATCCCATTATAGATACCTTATGGGAAGGTTGTGCTTTGTTACCATTTGCAACGTACCCAGGAACACATCACCCCTAGTGGTGTCCGGCGTCACTTATCTTCCTTTTGAAATTTACATGATTCGTCTTGCTCATATCGGCAACTCGTAGTACTCGCCGCGAGTATTATAGCGAATTCGTTTATTATTCAGTTCCAACCTGGATCGGGTATCAAGATTGGGTCTGCTTGTGTTCTGACAAACGTCAGTTTGCTCGTTTGTTTTTAAAACCTAGCTCAGGTTGAGGTTCGCACTGACAAAAAGTTCGGTTTCGCACTGGGTTGGAACTGGTACCAACCCCGATAATAAACGAATTCGCTATTAAACTGACTCGTCGTGAACGTTCATTGAGGCCTGCACTCTTATCCGATCACACCAGTTCGTAAATAACGATGAGAATAGAACGAGAATGAATGGAAGGCAGCACGAATAAGGGAGAACAGCCCATAATGCACCCCTGGGGTAAAATGCCCACTTATAGAAAAACAGCGATAACTTTTCCTCAGATGCATTTTCCGGGTAACGGATTGTGTTTGTTTTCAACTAGAGGTTTCACAATTGATTCTTGATCATAAAATCATATTTTGACCTACTGATTCCCTTAGAAAATAGCATTTTGTGCAAAATATGATACAGTTGTTAAAATCGTCGACTTCAAATTAAGCTTTTAACAGCATATATCGCAAAAAATTGAACTAATTCACTTTTCGTATATTTTTTTAAATGTTTTACTTAATGAATCACAGCTTAACACTCTATTGCGACCTTATTTCTGATGTAACATAAAGGAATAATCATCAGGCGTCAGATCACCATGAATCAGGCGTTTTGCCCCGCTATCATATTGGAACCAATTTATAAAATACCTTGAAAATCATGAAAATGCATCGTTCTATAGTTCTAAATCACTTGATCTTCGCAGAAAACATGGTAATGAACCAAACACCATTACTTTCTTCTTGATTTTAGCTTCCATACGCCAGCAATTGACGATTTTGCTTAAACGGTGCGTTTTGCACCATCCTACCCTACTCTTCGCACACAAGTCACTCACGGAGACTCACGTTAATGGCACCGTTCGGTTCGTTCAGAATGTAAGCTTTGCTTCCGTTATTCCAAACGCGTTCGGAGACGGTAAGCGCTTTTGAGTCGTACGATGCGAGTATCAGTAACCTTGTGTGTCACTATAGGAAATCATCATCGTTGCAAATATAAAGAAATTAAACATAACCCTTTGCTTCAGTACCGCCAACCTCCATGTCCATGGGGAGGGTGCAGAACTTTGGGTAAATTAGTGTACGAAAACCATTGAATCTACGCAAAGTTCTGCACAAATACTTGTGCAATTCACAAACGGTAGAGAAATCTATAGTACTGAATATTTCACTTTTCGGTATTGTCGATTTGTTGTTCTGGCAACTCTGTTTAAAACTTTCAGCATAAATGATACGAGTGGATTTGTCTAAAACTAACAGACATTATATATATTTTCCGTGTAAAAAGCTTTCCCGCTACCGCCAGGCGTCGCTACTGTTCGTGAAAGTAGGAAGAACTGGTTTTCTACACGAGAACCACTTCTTTTCTTTGACCAACACCAAAGCTTACGTCCCTTATACAGGTTCGTTTGAAAGATAAAGTATTAGGATCAACACCCAAAATTCTGTAGGGGAAATTACGTATTCTCGTCAATCTAAGCAGCGTCCGCCCTTCTATTAGCATTTCGTCAGCATTTGACGTGTTTCTTTGCTTAGATTTATCTGCTGCTTTCTTATCTATCCGTTCTTATTGACAGAATTGTTCAAAACTGTTTGAAAACGTGTTTCCAACTTCTCAGGTTAGTGTGACTATTGTCGACAGCCTCGTTTTCTTCGGCAACATCGTTTTCTTCGGCAGTCTTTCCATTTGTACTGCGTGTTAACCAGCTCCTCTATTAACAGCAACTCGAAATAAGCCGCATTTTGTTGTTAATTTATTTTATTTAAAGAAAAATATGGCATAACGGTATTGTTAAGTCGTAAAACTGTAATCCAATTAAAACTGAAAGATTAAGGAATCGTGTGAATACATTCAGCGAAGTTTTTTATGGGAAAATACAGTGAAATTAACGTTTACATTTTGGTTGCCGAAGCCAACATTTACCCTGATTAAATTAAATTATGAAGTAGTAAAATAAGGGTGTCTCAACGACTGGTCAAATGTATTCATACCAATTAAAAAGTACGAATAATGCATTACAATAATCACTAATGATTTTAAACATCCTCAACAAAGAAATCCTAAACAACACGGGTCTGAGGAAAAGCAGCAAGAGCAAAGTCGATCGTTTGACTTGATACTGATCAGTTCCTAACTTGATAACCATTTAAAAGCCTATTCCGAACAGTACAAAATATTGGCTCCATCAAGCAATTGCAATCAAATAATGAGAAAGTAACGAACAAGTTCTCATGTTTGCTCTGGAGAAAAGGCGCCAAATTGTGAGTGATGTGGAGAGAATGTAAACAAAGGCAAGAAAATTAATACTTTTCAAATAAAATAACTTGAAAATTGAAAGTGATCGACTTAGCATCACACAGATAATGGAAATTATTGAACCCCCTATTTTCACACCCTGACCCCATTTTTTAAAAATGTGTTTAAGGATGAAGTCTTCAAAGCCATTATTCCAGACATATTATGTCCCTGTGACGTGATGAGGAGTGCTTTGAATTTGCTCAAAATATGCCATTTTTATCCATAGTCCACACTCCCAATCCCAAGACGCATATTGAGGAATTCAACTCACCCATTCCCGTTCGCGTTCCCATTGAGCAGCCCGCCGACGTTCTGGTGCAGGTTGGCAGCGGCGGCCACCGCCGCCTGGGCCGTCGTCGATCCGCCCTGGGAACCGTGCAGCGCATTGACAGATGCCGCCGAATGCAAATTCTGGGTGTGCAGATTAAGCGAGTTGAGCGCGGCGTGTGATGATTGATTCGAGAGGTTCTGCGACGTCGGTATCGACAGTGGATGCGACAGCGATAAGCCCGGTATCGACAGTGACGGTATCCGATCCATCATTTTGCTCGCTTCCTATATTGGGTAGGTTGGTATGTAGCTCGGTGGGCTTCGGAATTCGAATTCACGATTCGAGCCGCCAGGCGAACAGAACGGAACAGACGGTGGTTTTGGGTTTTCTGAAATGAAGCAAAGAAAGCAAGAATGAGAGAAAGGGCATTTTTCACATTGGATTTGAACTCAATTGTACGGAACAGCTGGATTGATAGATTTTTAAGACCCGTCCGGTGCCGAGAACGGTGGGCATGTGAGGGGGAAAATAGAATCGCCTCCGACAGTGGCCACAAAATGAGCAATTATACCGAACAGCATGGCGATACAAAACGTTGATTATCTCGACGGCTACTCCTGCTGCTGTTGATGATCTATTGCGCGTTTGCCTGGTGGCTTTTGATTTGCACCGAAAATGGGGTTTTAAATTGTTCCCGACGGGGAGTCTTTCATACTCGTTGCTACTTGTGTTTCGGCTGGGTTCTGTGATTCGATGAGGTGAGTTTTGCGTTTAGTGAATGTGGACGGTCATTGGAATAGGCTATTGTCAATATTATGAACTTGGATAGAATAGAGAAATTCTCGGCTGTTTACTGAGAAAAAAAAAACTTTTCATTTAAACCGCATGTAGAGTTTGACTTATTTAAGGTTCATTCAGCTCATCGCTTGGTCATCAAAGTATTGAATAAGGAAGTTTGTGACGACGGACGTCATCGAAATGAACAGGTTTCAATCCTAAATATATCATAATGCTATCAATTCTACTGATTCAATCGGCTGGCTAACAATGCCATAGATTTCCACCCACGTGCCTTCCAAGTACCGGATACATTCCTTACAGCTTCCCGTGGTGGCTTTAGAATCGCCGCCGGTCCCGTCGGTCGCAATCGTGTAGACACTCCAGTCAGGTGAATCAATCGAAAAGTCCCTCATCCACCGACCAGTAGAACCTGTGATGTGTGATGTTGGAATGATAATTTCCAAATCTTCACAGGCGGTCCCCTTCTGATTGCTTTTCATTGCGGATGCCGCGTCGGTGGCTGGCAAGGGGTGATCACTTCAAAAACACATTGGAAGATGATTATGCACTAGCTCTGTGACAGGAAAAGATTTGCTTAAACATTTCAGGCAGCCCTAAGTTCGACCGATTCGGTTACCATAGTAGCATCATCTTAATAATAAACGGGACGCGCACCCCCAAAAACATGACGCTCGGTCAAACAGCGACAAAACAAAGCAGAAGATCACAGCTTCCCGACATACAACCAGTCTCCCTGCTGCTCGTCGTCGCACCGCGCCTTCACCGAGCCGGAAAGTAGCAGTTTTGATTTGAATATTTTTCGGAAAACAAAAGCCGCATACGACCGAAAATCACAACCAACCGGCATCGGAGCATTTGCTGCTGAATTTGTGATCCTCGCCTCCTCCTCCCTCCTCTTTGCTTTTTGACGATCTCCGTCAGCGGGGGGTACCGAAATTAGGAACCGAATTTATCATTCGCTGATTATAAATTCATAAGAATTCTCTCCGCGTCCCTCGTTCGGCTCCGGCTGAAAACTATTCATAATAAGAGCCATTCCGGGGGCGCGAAACTGATCAATCGACGAATGTGCTTCAGGATGCTACAAGCAGTGGCGAGGAGTGGGGTCATAATCCTACTGTTTTTTTTTTTTCGTTTCTTAAAGGTGAGAAAGAAGCAAAATCATTTTATATGCAGATGAGGCAGTTAAAAATTGGTTTTCCAACACATTTTTATTGTCTTCTGGAATTTCTGTAATTAAACGAGGAATTATGGAAAATAGCAACTGCGAGAGCTTTTTAAGGAGAAAAGAATACGACAACGCCCGGAAGCCGTGCAGAAGAAATTTGAATGATTTATGGAGTTGGATAGGAAATTGGCAATTTTATGGAGAAGGTTTGCATGGAGGATTGGGAAAATTGACCGAATTTCTGTCTGATGAAAGTTCATGTCTTCGCAATGATTTTTCTAGCGCTATATTTTTTTATATGATAGGTTTAACAGAGGAGTTTGGTTAAGGAGATGATTATCCCGATTCGTGACTTCCTCAAAATTGACCTTTGCTCGCTTTCTACTCTCTACACAGGGTCCGCAAATTATCCGTACAGACTTTGACAAGCATGCCTTTATACAACCAAACGGATTAAACTAAGCATCCCAAGTAACATTTTAAGTTTTATAAAATACTACAAAGCAACTATAAAACAACATTCATAAAACTCTGGTCAAGGCTATTTTGTCATTAATGCATCCACCAAAACCTCATTAAGACTAGAATATGTCTAGTTGGCCCACCCTGGAGAAGGTTCTGAAGGGTGTATTCTCGAGGCTCTTCAATGTTGATTTATTGCAAAAGGTTGTATTACGAACGCATTGAGAACCATTTGAAACCTACAACAAAAGCTATGTAGCAACAATAAAAACCATTTCCGAGCCATTTCTCCTAACCTAAATCCACTAGGAAAGCATTAATCAAGATAGAAATGGATTTATGAATCCGATCTTTCAAAATAATTAAAATAGAAATTGATGGTATAAAAATCTTGTTGAATATTTAAATTTATTACAATAGTTCTCATTAAGTGGCCTGGTTTTAAGAAAAAAATACGTCCGCCATCGTAAAACGTCGATTTGACTAATTCTTTTACGTTGAAAAATAAAAAATATTCTTCAGATCGAGGTAGGCGGAGATTTTTTTTATAAACAAGCAAACTAATTGTAACATGGCGGAGGCATAAAAGTTGATTTTCATGGGTCATTTGTGAAAAAGTTGATTTGCTTTCAAGAAATTCTTAACTAATTCATAAGGTTTTAATATGACTTTTATGAAGAAAACTTGCAGGCTGAATTGTATTTATCTAAAGCCATTTTGCTTGATCCTAACCCGTTCAGATTTATGGCAGCATTTATGGAGGCAAAGTTGCCTGTAAAAAGTTAAACGTCGAAGTTTGTTTATATTTCGATAATAAGTTGCGCTGTGCGATCCAAGGTTTTTCCAGGCAGTTTTCTCCCAATGGATTGGGAGCAGTTACTCAGATAGTTTGCGATACTGTTTTGCAACATTTCGCATTTCGAACCGAAAAAGATCCCCTTCTTCCGGATGTTTACAGAAGTGCACCATCCAACGATGCAGGGTGTACGCTTGAATGAAATGTTCAAAGAGTTGATTCTTTCGCCGAATTAAATCGCTGCTATGGATCGGAAACCAGCTAATCTCCGCTAACTAACAGTTTCAGTGGTTTGCTGTCGGTTGTTATTTCGATTGTCATCTATTCGCAAGATCTGAAGAAGGCAGGTATCTAGTCTAGTCTAGTCTAGTCTACACATACACAGCAAGTACTTGAAAGAATCCTGGAAAATGATAGAAATACATTTATCATTTTTCTTGTCATTATTAATGCCTGCTGCACATCAACGATGTGAAACAAACAATAAAGCGGCCAGGCCTACTGTGTAGCGTTTAGTTAATTTTTGTGGAAGTGAATGTTTACCATGTCTACTTAATAAGTATAGACAGTGGTTAACATTTAATCCACAGGTAATCAAAGAGCGGGGACATACCGTACCAACCGCTCCGTATGCAGGATTTGAAAATAGGCTATATAAATCGTTGGGAGTGACAGAGCTAAGAAAGTTAATGTACACTCCTTGGTTTTCCGATCTCCTGGGATGGAACACAGGTATTTACCCCTTGTTTTCGAGCGTACAGTCCTCCCTCCGTACAACCGTGGACGGCACCGCCAACCCACTGTCATCCCTCAATCGATCCAGCCGACCTCAGTCGAAGGACAACAGAGAGCGGTGTGCGGACGTAACCTATACGGAGGGAATGCTGTATTCGCCTAGGTTATGCGCCCTTGCTCGCTACCATTTTCTTCTAGCGGTTGGGACCTGAGCACTAACTCTTGTCCTAGCCCTATATGGCATATGGTTATAGCGCCATTACTCGCTTTCTGAAAAGAGAAGAATGGAAGGGAAGGAGAGGAAAAGGACTTGGGAAAAGGAAATGCGGAATTCCTTTCCTCATTAGTATTTGTATCGTCAACTTTTATGAAAACTATATAAATCATTTTTCCTTGGTCAGAGGTATTATTACGACATTTGAATAAGATTGTCTTATCATTTGTTATTCAAAATTTAATGTTATAATGATCAACATAGCTTTGGATTATCCAATATAAATCGGTAACACTGTCCTGCAACCGATGATTTTTCTAATCCGAAAACTAAAAGTTACGAAAAAGCACTGATGCCTTCATTAAGTTCCACTTTCACGCGACGTTCAATGGTTAAACAAGTAAACAAGTTATTAAAATGAAATCACGTTCCCGAAAGCCGTCAACAATGTATCTTAAACCGGATCAAGCGTGCGCCCTATTTTTCTAAACATTCCGACGCGTTCCGCCTGAAACTAAAGAATAAAATAATTGGCCACGTGTCTGGAATAATATCAACTTAAAGAACCTGAACTCAAATGAAAAATCTATTCTTTATTTACTTTATAATACGAAAATTGATCACAGAGCTCATTTGTATCGCATAGGTATTGCTGGCAAGATCTGAAGAAGGCAGGTATGTTTTTCAACTTTCGACAATGTTTTATGAATTCGAGGGCCCGCTCACTTTACTCTTCACCGCCAGATGGTCAGTCGTTGATGATGTGCTGGTTCTTCTAAAGAAGTAAATTTTGCTGAAATCGACTTGAATTTTTCATCCTTCTTCATCTATCCTTCGATATTTCCTTGTCATAAACTTGGCTTTTATTAACTATGAGGAACCATCTTCTAAGCTCAATTTGTAAACAGTAATTGGGGAGTTTATGATGCACTTTAAAAAGCGTAAAAAGTAACAATAAATGCTTTTTGTTCTAATGCAAAACCTAATGGTTTTACGGTTGCTTTTATAATGATAGAACACGTTTATAAAGTATTTTATCAAGACATTAATAAACAATTGCTAATGACATTTATGCTTGAATTACAGAGCAATTTTAAGGAGGGATTGAGAACTGTTTTAAATTTATTTTTAAAACAAGACAGTTTTTTACTTTTTTGCCAGACTATAAAAGGTTTTTAAAACAGCAAAAAGCTGAATCACTAAGCAGGAATG